GTTAAAAGGAGCATGGACATTTCTCTTTTTTGTATCGAAAAAATATCGAACCGTGAGACTAAAGTATCGAACAGTGAATTTTCTGTATCGTTGCACCACAAGTGTTTATGATTATATTTCACACAATTCATTCAAATGATACATTGATAAGTCATTTCTTTATTACATTTTTGAAAACATGCAGTTTCTGCACAAAATTAAAACTCTTTTGTTTTGGACTTAATCCTCGTTTCGGTGTGATGATGAGTCACATTTTATCGTTCATCACAATAATTTCTGAGACAGTTTATCATCCAGTAAACTTCGTTATGGTGACAGGCCTTCATAAATCACCAGGACGTGTCAGTTTTAAATAAAAGAAATATTAAAATACATGCTGACATCTGTCACTTTACCTTGTGTGTGACTTTGATGTATTTGTGCAGCACGCCGCACAGTTTGTTGTAGTCTCCATACCACTCGAAGGCCTTGTCCCCGCGCTTCTTGAAGAACCTCTCCCAGTACTCGGAGGAGCTGAACTCCTCGGCGCTGCGCGGTAAAAGACTCATGTTTTCGGTTTTACTCCTGCTCTCCGGCTCCCTCCTCGCTCCACATGGCACCGCCTACATTTCCACCCGGACACAGTTTCGGACCGCACCGCTCGGTGTGGGCGGAGCTTCGTGCTGCTCGCTGATTCGCTGAGACGGCTGGTTGTGATTGGTCAGAAACGACCCGGTTCGGTCCTGTTCGTGYTCCGGGTGACTTTTCATCATGGCTGTCCCTGCTGGGAGAACTGTGGTGTTTGTGACTGGAAACGCAAAGAAACTGGAAGAAGTAAGAGTTACACGACTTTTATATTGACTATAAACGAGTTTTGTATTTAGTATGTATATGTTTGAGTCTGTTGTTGTATATAATATATTAAGCGAACATCAATATGGCTTCAGGAAGAATAGACCTACAGTAATGAGATGTAGAAGAAATAACAAATAATAACTAATATAAAATGCATTTGATACTATAGATTATGACATATTATTGAGAAAATTGTAGATATATGGGATACGAGGGGTGGCATATTCTAGGCTTAAAAGTTATTTGGAAAACAGACCACAGTGTGTGGAAATGAATGTGTCACAATTCAGAAGGGTTATATGTGGAGTACCCCAGGGTCTGTGATTGGAGCAAAATTATTTTTACTTTATATTAATGATRTCTGCAATGTTACAAATTTATTAAAGTTTGTTATTTTTTGCTGATGACATTAATATGTATTGTTCTGGAAAAGAAATTATAAAATCTTAAAACCTGGTTTGATATCAACAGATAATCACTTAATATAAACAAAACTAAATTCATGGTGTTTGGA